ACTATCTGAGGTCCCTTAGACTGCTCAGTCCTTCTGGCTGAGACCCATATTCAGGGGGCCTGAGTCAGTCCCATGCTGGCTTCCCAGCTATCAGTCTAGTGGCCGTTAGCTCCTCCTTGTTCAGGTAAGCTGTCTCTATGTGTTTCAAAGAACATATTTTAACTTGTATAAAATATTCCTTTTTTAATTTTTGCTTCTTTTATTTATATAATTCTTTTGTATTTGCTTCTTTTCATTTTCCTTTTGTATTATGGAATTTTAATGTGCTGTTCTGTTCATTTAGGATAATAAATACATTGTTTATCATTTCCCTTTTAACATGTGCACACATGTGGAGATTTTTCAGAGCACACCCTAAGTCTCAATGCATTGCCTTTTCACTGAGCTACTTTGTTATTGCTGTGTTTAACTTATTCCTAGCATCCTTTTATGATTCATTTTGTGTATTGATATTTACAAGTATGTAAGTGTTAAAACATTTTTAGGCTTTCAAGTCATCTCTTCGTTTTTTTACTGTCCAGTAAATCATCTGTGTCTATAATCTTACCACCCAGGAGAAAGAAAAGAGTACTTGAAGTGTATAACTGCGACAGTAGTTGGGATGTTATTTGTATTTGTCTGTGTGTGTACATACATACATACATACATACATACCTTTAATAAACCTTCATTAAATCCCTCCTATCCTAAAGCAACTGTGAATTAAGGCTTTCTTGTGGTCATTTGCTCTATCTTTAACTTAGCGAGATCATTGCTTATATGTATTTGACTCAACTTGAACTGCTAGTAATTTTTGTGTTGTCATTTTGTGTGTGTGTGTGTGTGTGCATGTGCATGTTTATGTAAATTCATATATAATATAAATGTATTGAATGCTTTTTTATTTTTGGACACTAACTTTATTTTTAAATTATGTGTTGGTGTTTGTGTGGAGATATGTTTACTTGAGTGTGTACATGAGTGTAGATGCCAATGAAGGCCAAAAGAAGGTGTTAGACCACCCCAGTCTGCTGATACAGATGGTTGTGAGCTGCCATGTGGGTACTGGAAACCAAACTTGGATACTCTGCAAGAAAATTGCTCTTAACTATTGAGCCACCTTTCCAGTCTCACATGTAATACAGCTTTTCATCTACCCTCCCCATCAACCCTGTGTGTGTCAGGGGGTAGGTGAAGAGGTAGAGAGCATACTGGTGGGAGGAGGATTTACTCATAGGTATTTGCTCACTTACCTATGACGTCTGTCATGTGGGAAATCTGTTTGACAGCAGGCTGGAAAGTCTGTGGTAGAAAGTAATGTTGCAGCCTTGAGGCAGAATTCCTTCACCCTCTGGGAAACATGGTTATTTGCTTTTAAGACATTGTAGCTGAGGTGATGAGGCATATTTCCATTCTTAAAGTTAATGTTCCTTACTTAAAACCCACTCATTGAAAAGTACCATTATGGCAATACCTAAAATACTGTCTGTTTAAATAGCCAGCCTGTCACAAATATCATCAAATATGTGATAGATTAAAAAAAAATCTATAGCTGAACTTTTGAAGTCCTAATGGAATGGAGAGTTTGGCAACTCAGTGGAGTTTAAAAGTGTTCCTAGAGTAGGTAGAGGTTTATGTATGGAAGGCTGCTATGCAGCATGTTTTCTTAACTTGAGTCATATAATGTGATGCTAGAGAGAAAAGTTACAGAAGTAACTGCTTAACTGAAAATTGTTAATGGTTTTAACATGTTGGTTTTTGCTTTTTATTTTATTTGGTCTTTCATGTGATTTCAAAGATTTAACATATAGGCTAACCCATGCTTTTACTCTTGAGTTACCTCTCCAGCCCCAGGAGTAATAGTGAACTCTTACTAATAATAATGTTCAAATATTAATTAGATTACTGGTGCTTACTGCAAATTCAGTTTCAATATTATATGTTCTTTGACATCTGGTGTAAATAACATATTTTAAAACAGTATTTTGCTCACATGGAGTTCGGTATATAGTAGGCATAATTTTTTTATAGTTGTATTAAGCATTGAAGAGTAGTTGAAATATGATAGCAGATATTTAGGATTTGGATTAATGATACTGAACTTTATTTATTTATGTATGTATGTGTGTGTGTATATATGTGTGTTTCTGTGTGTATTGTATCTTACATTTAAATACATGGTGATTACTTTAGTATGTGAAAAACACTTGATTCCATAAACATGCTAGCCACAAATTTCTCTTCCTTCTATGCTCTTGAAGGTAAGATTCCCTAGCTGAACATGTCTTCTTTGCATAGGGATTTCTTGGGCTCTATATCTGATGCTACTTGATCAGCAGATTCTGTTCACTGTAATTTTGTGCCGTTGTTCAAACAAGCCAATCACATCCTCTGTAGCAAAAATGAGGCACTTTTCTGTTATGAGTAAGGTTTTTCCACCAGCCTGGTCCCAGAACCGCGCCATTCCCAAATAACATGCAGAGATGCTGTATTTCACATAAAGCTGTAGGCCAGTTACTAGTTTCCAGTGGCTAGCTCTGTCTTAAATATTAACCCATTTCTATTAATCTAAGTATTTCCACGTGGTCTTATCTTACCAGAGAGAGACCATGGCATTCTACCCTGTAGGTCCTCCACCTTGAATTTCCTCCCTACTACTTCCTCTCTCCTCCTAGTCTCCTAGTCCCACATTCATTGCTTTCCTATTGGCCAATAGTGCTTTATTCATTAACCAATTAGAAAAACATATTTATAGAATTACATCTCCCATCACCTTTCACATCATACAGTCTTCTTCCTTGTTTCCTTTGCTCCTGAATGATTCCCCATGTGCTTAACATGGTTTTGTTTTCTTGTCAACAAAGTTGTGAGTAGCTGTGATTAATCAACTCTAGTCTCATCCATATACAATGATGAGTGTTGGATGATTGGCTAGTTTCATAGCCTCAGGTTGGGATATGGAGATGATTGAAACAGAATTCTTGCCGTTTCTCAGCTCCTATTCATGATGTCAGAGTAGAGAAAGATTCTGGAAGATTGAGTTGGGGGAAGAATAGAGGAGAGCAAGAAAAGAGATACCATAATAGAGGGAGCCATTATAGGTTTAAAGGGAAATCTGGCACTAGGGAAATATCCAGAGACCTACAAGGATGACCCCAGCTAACAATCTAAGCAATAGTGGAGAGGCTACCTTAAATGCCCTTCCCTGATAATGAGATTGATGACTACCTTATATGCCTTCATCCAGTAGCTAATGGAAGCAGAAGCAGACACCCACAGATAAACACTGAGCCAAACTCCTGTAATCCAGTTGCAGAGAGGGAGAAGTGATGAGCAAGGGGAGTCAAGCCCAGTCTGGAGAAACCCACAGAACAGCTGAACTGAACAAGGAGTTTTCCATGGACCCCAGTCTGATAACTGGGAAAACAGTATAGGACCAACTCAGACTCCTGAATGTGGGTCTCAGTTAGGAAGCTTGGGCAGTCTATGGGACCTCTGACAGTGGAACCAGGATGTATCCCTAGTGCACAAACAGACTTTAGGAGCCCATTCCCCAAGGAGGGATTCTCCCTTAGCCTAGAGACATGGGGGAGGACCTAGATCCTACCCTAAATGACTTGCCCGATTTTGATGATCCTTCATGGAAGGCCTCACCCTCCCTGGGGAATGGATGGGGGATGGGATGGGGGGGTCTTTGGGGAGCATGGGAGGATGGGAAGGAGAAGGTACTGGGATCAATATGTAAAATAAGAAAAATATACTTAATGAAAAAAATAAAAAGGAGTCTGATATCAGCTATTGGCATAAATGACTAGTGAAATATGCATCAATCCAGAAATGGTATTGGTTTTGCTTTTCCAATACTATTTTATTAGCATTTATGTTTTCCAAAAGCATGAAGAACATTTATTTATCTATCATTAGCTCCAGCTCAATTTCTCTGTAAATTATATCTTTTCCTCTCAGCTGTTAACTCAAGAAACATGACTTAGTAGTTTTTTATTCCCTCATTATATTCACCAAATAACATAATCACTGGAAACAACAGAAATGCAGTAAATATTTGGCATGTAATCCAAAACAGTAATTCGGAAATTACTCTTTCATCCAGAGCTTTTAGTTTTTCCTTAAATGGCATAAGATTTAAGTAAATGTCCTAAGTGTGAATTGTTCAATGTTGTTAAAATACAACCCCCTTCCATTTACTTCCAAAGGGAAGAAAGAAAGCTTTAGAATGTGGCCCATTTTCTCTTTATTCATTCTCCTTCCAAAGTGAATATTAGTTGCCTTAAGGCCTCTGAAGAAACCTTAGGGCAGCAGCTCACTTTGTATAGGAAGGAGAATTAGAATAGCAACATGGTGATCCAAACTTCTTCCTGTCTGTTGATTTTGGATGCTTGATGCACAATTTGAAATTCTTGCTGGAAGCTAGTGCTGCTTCAGGAGTTCCTTAGTTTTGTTCTTGTTTTATTTCTGAAGTTGAAGCTATATAATACCCCTATCCGAAGTACAGGTAAACATGCACGGAAGTGTATTAATAGATCACATATGAGTGCAAGTTATGTGTTAACCTGTACTGCCATACATTTCTTAATTCACTTAGCATAATGATCTCTGGTTCATCTGCATTGTTGCACATATAGCTGTAATCCATTCGTTTTCTATGACTGAATAGCATTCATGATGTGTATCCACATTTTATTTCTATTACTTTTGTTTTTATGCTTACTATTTAGACTTTTCTTGGAAGTTAAGTAATTCTTTTGTAAGAATGTCATGGACTATTTTTCTTACTCGGAAATTTAAGAAATTTTTAATGAAAAACCTAGTCTGACAAAGGATTTTTTCTGATTTCTAAATATATACTTTCTCAGAAGTATAATGCTAAGGTGGTCCTTGACAGTGTATTTGTTTCTGGTAAACCATCCAGTGATAGGCTGTGCTTCCTCCATTGGTCAGAGACTTAAAGAAATACTAATGACAACAGAAGTCTTCTCTCTATCTCTTGGATTTATTTACAGGAAACAGATCCAAGCTATGCTCGGCCAATTCAGCGAGGCAGAGGCCTTGTTAATAAATGCTGGAGTGCAGCCAGGAACTATTGATGGAGTTCTTTTGGATCTGGGGTGCTCCTCCATGCAACTTGATGCTCCTGAGCGAGGTTTCTCCCTTCGGAAGGATGGCCCCTTGGACATGAGGATGGATGGAGACAGGTAAGTATTGAAAAAGCATTTCTTCTTGCCTCAAGAAAATCAATTCCTTAAAAACATTCAGAATTTAATTTCCTTGAAGACTGAAAAATTCCCAGTACACTCCCACGTCCAGCACTGTCCATACATAGTAAATCATCTGTTTGGTACTGATTATAGACTTAAGTATTTCTTTGGCTTTGCAGTTCTTAAAAAGAAAATATTTACCACCTTTACAGAATATAGTGAGGAAGTATTCAGATGGAGAAATCAACTTTTATGTGTTTTTCTTTCTACTGACAATATGGCTATTTAGTAGTTATTTGGAAAAATTTGATGCTAAAACAATAGCTTTATTTTTCTGCATGCCCAGCTATGTTTCTGTAAGAATCAAGAGGAGCTGTATTTCATTGATATTCTTTTATAATGCTCAAAAAAAAAAAAAAAAAAAAAAAAAAAAACCTGCCAGGACTCTGGTGGTCAACAATTCTGTTTTGTTCTGTTTTGCTTCTATCTCTTATGCAGTTATCCTAATTGTACCTTCTCCAAAACATCGGTAATGCATGGAACTGCATCTTACATCACTTCGTATCCATTCATCTGTACACAGAATTTCACCTGCAACTCCTCTTCATTCTTCAGCATGTAGAAATACTAGGCTTGTTTACCATTCTTCAATTCAAATAGACCTCAATATACTTAATAGCACTATGTTTCATTGTAGCAAAGAATAGGAAAATTTTCTATTTCTTCGTTAATTAAAAGTTTAAGTTAGTACTGACAACTGGACCTACCAGTAGTACCGAGCCAGAATAACCTGTATACAAAGCTTACCCTTGCTTTTCATGTCATGCCATGAATATCCTGTGGTAAATACTCATATATAGTCTCTTAAATTGATAAATGATGTGATTGCTTAATTTTCATTATGATATGTTTGTTAGAATCTTATTATTTCTGAATCCTTTGCATTCTTCCCATTGCATTATTGACATTCATAGGCTGAAGAATATGATAAAATAAAATAATAAAATATTTAACAACTAGTGACTAAATGAAGGTCAAATATCCTCAACTTTAGAAATTAAGGTAGTTGTATATGCATAAAATGTTGAATGAAACTATACTCTTCCTGTGACTCGCTGTAGAAGATGCTTTCTGTAATACAATGAACAAAATTTCTAATTAACAATACCATGTTCTTAATGTAAAAGCTTCTTTGGCAAATTTTAATTTTCAAACCTACATCCATTAATTTCTCCTCAAGAATTTCAAAATAAGATTGTTCCTGAGAATTAAGCCCTTACGTCAATATCTTTTGTTTGATGTTATAATTGAAATAATATATGTTTAAAAGTTGAAGATCTTTCATATAGATAATATGAAATACTCTACATGAGGTTCTTGGAATGGGAAGTTGATTTACTTGAATGTGTGGAAAAATGAAAGGCATGCAAAGATGTGCACTGCAGATCCAAGTAGAAGGATGGGCCATGGGAAAAAAACACATGTGTATCGGCGCACGCAGTTGTTATCTGTCAGAACCCAGAAATTGATAGATCCCTATGCTAAAGATGCATACAGAGACATTTTAGCACTATAGTCTTAACTCTGTGCTGATCCTAATTTTAATAACCACTGCTTTTAGATTATATTATCTTCTCATGTATCAGAGAGGAATTCCAAACCTCAAGGGCTTGAAAGGCTCACTCTTTTAGCAGGTATAGTCTTCATTGGGAGATAATAAATTGGCACTCGAGTTTGGACTTTCTCTTATGATTTTAGTTGCAGTGTTCAGGGAAATCTTTGGAGTGACATGCTTAAATTTGAGTTTTCTTACAGGGAGAGTTCTTCCTGTCCAACATTTTAATGCCTATTTTAGTACAGATTTCTGGCCTGACAACCCCCAGAGTGAAATTCCTTTTGTCTTCTAGCATTGTGGAAACTTCTACACAGCTATTTCATGACAATGTAACAGTAGAATAATATCATAATCATACCTGGTATCCATTGAATGGCACCTGATCAAAATGCTAGTTTAATTTTCTTGTTTAAAGTAGAAAGTTATGAACAACTAAATCCATCCATACTATCTTATAATTGGTTAGACTGTTATAATTGCCTAAATAGAGCTAAGAGTCTGAATTTGCCATCATTAACAAGGATTGTCCCATTGGGTAGTGGCTTAGGTAACTGAATTCATTGTTAGAAAAATCTAACAGGGATTTTGTCTTTTATGCTCAAAATGATGATTGGCAAATATATGAATTGAAAAGATCTGAAGGTCATGAACATATATTTCCCAGTCATTATAATGTCTATATTTACTGTTTCATGCAGGCCCCTCTCCCAACAATTCTGATAATTGAGATAAGCATTGCTATATTCATTTCTCAGATTAAAATTGAAAGTCTGCCACATTTAAAACTTTAGCCAGTATAGTAAGATTGCAATTATGTAGATCACTACAACCTTAAAAGAGAGAATCTTCATTTTGTAAGCCCAAAAAGCAACCCACTGGGATCAAAATTAGAGCTACCATATAAGACAGTCATTGGCTGTCTTGGGTGATCAAAAGAAAAGACTATCAGTTTGAGGGTGTGGGAGGAGCTGAAGAAAGGAAAGGTAGGGTAATATAATTATATTTCAATTAAAAATACATAAATAAATAAAAGTAAGCAAAACCAAAAAATAGAACCATCATACTTAGAACAGTATGTTTCCTACTCCCGAAAACAGAGAGAAATAAGAATTTCAAAGACAGACTGACAGACATGGAAAATGGAGTACAAAGATAAAAATTGCTCCTGTATGCTCAAGCACGTTAACAAGGTAATAATTTTCAAGGAGAGTTTTAGATGTTTTTTTCAACATCACTCTGGCTTAAGCCTCAGATCTTAATGCTCCCATATCTTTGGTACTCATAACTATTCACAGTATGAAACTAATAATACAACGTGTTTATGTGGGAGTAGTAACTGTACTACTAGCAGATGTTCCTAATAAGTCGAGTCATTGTTAGCTCATCAGTTAGAATGCTTTGACACACTTCTTTAAGTGGAAATAAACTAGAATGATCTGACAGTGATCGTTATTTTATGCTAGTATAATTTAGTCTATGTGGTCAGAACTTGGATATTCTTTTTATGCCCTGCTTGAAAGTAATATTTATGACTCATCACCCAGTACTGTTTATTTTAAAGCTTTAATCCATGATGAATTTTGCCGCTGATAACTAAGGTAATACCAAATATCCAAAACATACATGCTTAACATTTGATCTTTAGTTATTGTGAAGGAAAGCTGCCTAGTATCTCCTTGTGTAGACTTATTGTTTTTCCCCCTCTAAATTAGATTTCATTATTATCTTTTTATCTTTTGTTACATTTTCCTCCACTCCCTTTCATGTAGCCTTTCTAGTAGGATTTTTTGTTGTTGTCCCACATGTAGACTCTTTACTGGCATAGATTAGCTTACTCGCTAGCATTTAGGCTTGATCAGCTATCATCTCTCAGCATTGTGTCTTCTAATCTAAAGAAAAGAATAACTCAATTAATAACTTAAATTTTGAACAAGTTAAATCTAAACACTCTTCTATTACTTTATCTTATAAAGCTGCAAGATCAATATTAACTTTTTTATGCGTGAAAGTTAAAAGTTAACAAAATACTATAACTTCCATTACCTTGACTTCAATGAATGTTTCAGGTTCCTCCTGCCATGATGATTACTATTTAAAACAGAAACTCTCTTCATTTCTGTGATATTTCAGTCTGTTTGAGAATTTCTTCTAGACAATATGTTGTGAACGCCTTAGCTCATGTTCCCAGTACTCTGAGATATCCACTCTTGTCAATGAAAATGGTATCAGTAAACTGCTTGTCTCTTTTTTTTGCACAGGTATCCTGACATGCCCACTGCTGCTGATGTTGTGAATGCTTTAGATCAGCAAGCACTTGCATCCATCCTAAGAGCATATGGAGAGGAGAAGCATGCCAAGAAAATTGCTTCTGCAATCATTCAAGCTCGCAGGGTTTACCCTATCTCGAGAACCCAGCAGCTTGCTAGCATTGTTGCAGGTACTCTCCTTAATTCTCTTTAATGTCTAAGAGTAAAAATCTAAATTAATATCTGATATATACATATTTGTGTGTATGTATGTATGTGTGTGTATGTATATATGGGGGTGTGTGTGTGTGTGTGTGTGTGTGTGTGTGTGTGTGTGTGTGTGTGTGTTCCTTCTGTCTGGCTTCCAGAGGAATTCATTTGTGTGTGAAATCATTTAGAACAGCCTATTCAAATGTCAGGTTTGTTTTGTTTTGTTTTTTAAGCTTCCTCTCTCCAACAATTCTCATACTGCATACAATTTTTTAAAGTTATTTCCATAGGTGGTTGATTAATATAATAGAAAATTTATATGTGGTAACCAAGGTGAAAGATGGAATGACAAGGTTTAAAGGATGTCTTGATCCATCACAGTGGTTGATAAGCATCCTGTATGAGATTTGACATTACCTTTCATAGTTTCACATTTCCACATTTTAATATTTCAGGCAAAAAAAAATTGCATTGCCCAACTGCTAAAATAAAACTCAGTGACTCATACATCTCTTCTAAACAATCAGCTAACAAAGAGTATGTGATGTATAGGTTATTCCACTTTGTGGATGCTAACTAAATCAGCCTAAGGGATTTATTGAAACATTTCATCTTTCTGCTCTTCAGCAGCATAAACCTCTTGAACCGAATTCTAGCTACAAGGCACTTTTTTTGTACCCTTTCCATTTGAAGCCAAAGTTGTTTGACAGCTACGTTTTGATGAAAGTTTCTCAAAGTAAAAATGCAGCTCTTGTGGTTATTTAACAGAATTACAGTGGTAAATTATTCATCTTGTTGGATCAACTAAAACACTATCATTTTTATAAACTAAAAATATATTAAGATTGTTTTCTGTTTATATTAAATTATGTAAGTAATAATAATAAGCATTTTGAAAGTATCCAGTATTGGCTAAAGCTACCATAATGCTGGATGGAGTTTAAGGAATAAAACTTAATTATAAATTCACTCAAATCATTAAACTTTCTTATAATAATTGTTTCTGGCAAAATTAACAATAATTAAATAAAATTATAATTTATTTAACATAGTAGAATATAAAGAATTGACTAAGTCTTTAATATTTTAAGATTCCTTTGTCAAGCGCTTTCCAACTTAATGCCTTTTATTGGAGTTGAAGCAGAATTCATGTGGGTTATGTAAACATGCAGTATTTTATTATCCCCCCCATAAAAGTTTTAATTAGTATGTTAGCAAGTATAGAATCACCTATTTCTTATATACATTGCCCTTCTCATTCTTTACTCACCAGGCTACTCCACTTGTCCTTGCTGTCTTTAAGAGCACTGCATACCATTTTCTGTGAGAAACCATATTATTTATTCAGAATAACCCTGAATTTTGTCTGGTACTGAATGAGGGCTTGTAGCTAACAAGTACACTAGAGATTGTTCTGTTGAAACCTTTATCCAGTAACTTGTGATACCAATTCTAAAGAGGACCAATGATTTGCTCATGACAACAGCCATTAAGGACAGTTAGTACTCATTAAAATTTAGGAGACAGTGAAGTAGAGACATAATTGGGATATAGTTTTAGGAAATTAAGTTAGCTGTCATTTTGGGGAACCACTAATGGTGTGAGATAGAAATGATGTGACATATACCACAGGAACAATGTGACTTTTCCATGGAATATTATAATGTTAAGAACATAGTAGAGTCATGTTAACAATGAAGTAAAAGTGAGAATACTCACATATAGGCAAGGGAAATTTGTGAATGGAATTAGAACATTGAGTTCTCTGAGTCTGTTTTTATGTCTTTATTGTTAGTCAACAGAAGTACAACTTTATTGAAAGCAATAAGTTTTTGAAAAAGAGAAGAGTGTGATATTTCAGAAAGAGAAAACTATGATCTACCCAAATTGAACCAAGAGATTAGAAAGCTTAATAGATCTATAGCAAGCAATGAGTCTGGAGATTTCCAACTAAAACAGCTCAAGTACAGGTGCATTCTATGCTGAATTCTATGAAACCTTTCAAGAACTAAGCAATTCTCCACAAAACTATCCACAAAATAGAAAGTAAAGAAATAACACCAACTTCATTTTATGAAGCCAGTGTTACCCTGAAATCAAAGCTGAATGAGGCCATAACAAGAACTGTAAAGAATTATAAGCACTCTCCCTTATCATGCATGCCACTTGTTTTTAAAATTGTTTTTTATGTTTTTAGATTATAATATAATTATAAAACTTTCCTCACCCCAAATCCTCCCATATGTACAGGCAAGGAAAAACATTGTGATCTTTCTTGATCTATTTCAAATTCACAGCCCCTATTGTCATTAATTTTTGGCATGTCTCTGTGTGTGTATTTCTAAGTACATGACTACAACCTGCTCAATATGTGTAATGATGCTTGCATGCATGTTTTCAGGGATGACCATTTGATATTGGATAACAAGTTGGTATCTTCTTCCATTGGAGATGACTATTTTTCCTACACACAGTATTCCTTAGTTGTCTGTAGTATTTTGTGTAAGGCTGAGGCCTCCTGAGCTTTCCTCCTCCATGTTAGCATTTATGTTGTTTTCCTTTTTCAGATCATGTTTATGCAGTTGTGTTGGTAAGACTATAAGGATGTAATGCTTCTGTTATTACTAGGAGACACAATCTCACAGCCTTTTTTTCTACCTCTCGAAATCACTCCACCTCCTCCTTCACAAGGATCATTGAGCCTCATTTTGGGAGTTGTATTATAGATGCATCCATTAGGGCAGGGCTCCACAATTCTTCTTTGTTGATTAGTTGTGTTTTTCTATAATGGTCTTTATCTGTTGCAAAGAGAATTTTCCTTGATGATGGGTGAGGACAATAGTTTTCTGTAGGGATAAGGACAAATATTTAGAATGTATTTGGGGGTTATACTGGCTTAGTAAAGTAGTGGTTGTAGGTTCTCAGATCTAGGACTTCACTATCCCTGGTGAGATGGCTATGTTTCCAATGAAGAATTTGCAAGCCACTTTGTACTGTTAACATAAATTCTTGCATCAATCAAAAGAGCTCTGTGTTCATAGCATTTTCTACTGTCATTAGGTAATTAAATTAAATATTACATAATATGATGGTATATTGATTATGAAAGAAAAGACATATGCAATGAAGTAGGCTGTTCACAGGATTATTTCCTTGGCTGCACAGAAGCCTTTTAATTTTATGTATTCCAGTTTATCATTTCTTGACACTATTTCTGAGTCTTTTCAAAAAGTCAGTTCTTACCAGGACCAAATGGGCTTTATTTCAAGGATGTAAGGATTGTTCAACAAACATAAATCAATAAATATAATGCATCTTATGACTACACTCAGTGACTGAATCACACAAATATCTCAGTAGATTCAGAAAGGGTCTTTGATGACAACTAACACCCTCTATTGTTAAAATCCTTGAAGAAAATAATAATAGAAGAATATTCCTCAATATAATAAGAGTGTATATAACACATTTATAGTCAGTTATTTACTCAGTGGAGAAAAACTGCAAAAGTTTTCACTACAATGAGGAATAAGACAGGAGTGTCTTCTCATCCAATGTTGTCATTGAAATCATAACTAGAGTAATAATTCAAAAGAAGTAAATTAAAGACATAGAAATAGGAAATCGGAAAGGAAGAAGTAAATTATTCTTGAAGATGACACGATCCCATAAAACAATTGAAGATTCTACCAGAAAACTCTAAGCTGATTAAGAAATTAATTGCAAACAATATTAACATATAAATTAATAGCTTGCCTATGTCCTGATAGCAAATCATCTGAGGAGGAAGTGAGGAAAATGAGCACTTTGATAATAACTGCAAAAAAAAAAAAAAAAAAAAAAAAAAGCAAGAAAAGGAAATAAACTAGGGTTGGGGAGACAGATGAGCATGAGCTGCTAAAGTGCTTCCTGCCAGCATGAGGTCATGTTTGATCCCAGAATGCATTTAAAGATGATGGACTTGGTGGCATATGTGTGTTATCCCAGTCCTGGGAAGGCAGAGTCTGGTGGAACAGTGATCAACCAGCGGGGTGGGGGTGCTGTAAGATGGCTCCATAATTTAGGGTACTGATTCCTCTTGCAGAGGACTCAGGTTTATTTCCCATCCCCCACTTAGACAGACTTACAGAGACCCAAAAATAGACATACAAATACAAAATAAATTCTTTTTTAAATGTAACAGGTATACAGCACCTGGAGTTGACATCTGGCATCTCTCACTCATGAACTGGCAAAATTAATACTGTGAAAATTGCTGTTTTTCTAAAAGTCATATTATGTTGCTAATTCATACATGTAGAAGAGTGGAAAGTCCTAAGACTAACGGTACTGTAAAACTCACAAGATTCCAGAAACTTTTCAAACGTACCAGGCTTAGGGGCTCAGAGAGTTAGAAGATTTCCAGGGCCCTCTCCCAATTATAAAAAGCAGTGACTAACTATTGAACAGAAAAGATTCTACATGGAGATTCTTACAGTTAGTCAGATAGCTAGAGGTTTGCAGTTTTCATAAAGGATCACCAGCATTAGGTTTTATAATAATGATGTTGCCCTTGAAGGCTCCTGTAAGTAACTAATAAACTATTTCACTATGGCACAATAAATATAAGACCCAGAGACAGATATTAGGGTTCAAGCTTCAAGCTGAAGATCAGAAAAGCAAAGCATCTAGCCACTAGTTCTTGCCACTACCTCAACTCAGACCAAAGGGGTGATCCTTAAACTGATCCCCAGATTCATTCAGACTCCTGTGCTCTCTTCAGTGTGGCTAGAGAATAATTCTCAGACTGAATGTCAGCTCTGTGACCCCACTCCTATCTTATATAACTCCCTAATGCTGGGATTAAAGTTATGTGATCCCAAGTGCTGAGATCACTTTTGTGTGAGCTGTTTCTTTTAAGACTGGATCAATTTTGTGTAGCCAGTGTGGCTTTGAACTAACAGAGTTCAGTCTACCTTCTAATCCTGAGTCCTGGTATTAA